ACCAGGTGTCGCAAACCATTTTTATATGTCGCAAATATGGTTGCAACCATCACCAAGAATTGCGACCAGCATCTATAGTTGAGATATATTTGCCATACCTTTTTTTGTGTTGTAGATGTGTTGCTGTTGGTTGAGAAAACATAGGTGGTGATAATGTTGCTGTTGATGTTGATGATGTTATTGATGTTGTCGATGTCATTGATGTTGATTGATTTAGAGATGATAGTGTTGAACTTCCTGTTACGTTTTGAGTAGTGGATGCTTGTTGTTGTTGTCTATGTAATTGTTCCGCTGGTTTATATGGAACCCATTGTCTAAAATCTGGTTATGGATACTTTTCTGGATGCACAGAATCTAATAGGACATGGCGAACTGGTGCCAATTCTTTCTCTTTGATTTGAGGTGATTTAATTTGTATTTAGATAGCTGAAATGATTCAAAAATTGACTTAACATTGAATCTATCTATATATACATATATCCAGACATATAGATATATTGTATATATTTATTTATTGTAATAATACTGTTGTTAATAATAATTTGCAATGTAAAAATACATTAGTGATTAATAATACCTTCTGGATATTCTTTTGCTTGTCTTTCATTAATTTTATAAATTGATGCAAGATTGCCATAATTATTTTCATAATCAGAGAATTTTTTTCAAAATACTTTAGCCTTATCACTTGGTATTGATAATAAAGTACATTAAGTTTTTTTAATAACTTATATTAATCATTAATTAAAAAATGCACTTCATTGAAAAATATTTCAAACGCATTTAGTAAATATATTTGTCATTAAGAAAAAATTCTAACAATACCAGATAAAAAAACCTATTTATAAATATAATTAGTGATTAATATTATTTTGAAGTTCCAATATCTTGCCTGTAGAGTATAAGAAAAGTGGTGAACTATTTGGAGTGCCAGCTTCACTCTGAGCATAAAATGATTTTATCCCAGCACGGCGAGCTTCTTTGGATGGAGTACATGAATGAAGAGGAAGACCATCAGGAAGTTGAGATACATTTCAAACATATTATTAACATTTTCAGCACACACCTCATTTACAATTTTGATTGTTTCTAGCAAATTTATCTATCCAACAACAACCAAACAACCTTTGATGAGCATTAAAAAAATATTAAACAATCCAAAGAAAAAAAAAGGTATAATACCTTAAACACCCATAAGAGAGATATGAAATCAAAAAAATGAATTTGCTGACTTGTCCAATCAATTGGAACAAATGATTTACTTATTCGTTCCATTAAAAGGACACCATTTGTTGGATTAGACATTCCCCATAGCTCTATTTGTTTTTCTATAGTGTGTGAAATAATTAAAATATCAAAACTAAGGAAATCAGATTATCTATAAATATAAATATAAATATGTGAAATTATTTACCATAAGCATGCAAGAAAAAAACTTGGACCTTTGAAAAGGCTTCATTTGAAGCTTTTTTATAACAATGTGCTAATTCACCCAACATATACACATTCCCAATTGCTCCCTTTAAATGGTCCCATGTAGACCGTGGCTTGTCCACAATATTGTATCCACCACTAATTTCAAGATGTCCAATTTCTACCAATGACTTCTTTATGCAGGTAAAAAAAGCTCCATCTGCCTTTTGTTCATATGAGTTAACCACCTTCTTTCTTTTACGACATGATTCTACAGATGATAATATTATCTCCCCTCTTTAATCAGGAAAAGATGACAATATTATTTATCAATTATGTAATGTAAATTACCAGCAACTTTTTTACACTAAGATAACATCTACAAACACACTTACGGCTTATAGATTACATCTTTCTCTTCACCACAAAATAGTTCTATCAGGCATTGATTGATTACATATAAACCATAGCTGCTTTCTGAAATGTTCTCTCTCTGCATAACAGAATGTTCGGGATATACTAATCTGTGGCTACAGGTGCGCACACACACACACACACACACACACACATATGAGATGTTAAATTTTAAATTAAAAAGAACCATACTAATTGAATTAACTACTTACAATTTTTTAGCATCTTTAAAAAAAATTTTGTATGTGGTACTTCCAAAGAACTGATCGGAGACCCAATTTTGAAATTCTTTATTGCTGAAATTACAGCTTCTGATGTTTCCTGTAAAAAAAGATAGTTAAATTTGAGATTCCTTATAGTAATAGTAGTAGGAAGAAAAATGAAATTCAATAATACCAATTTAACAATGCTTTTTAGTTCAGAGGGATATTCTAATTACAATTTTTTGATTTGCAAGATCTTTGAATTTCTAAGTAGTCAGATTTTTCACACCATTTAGGACATGCTATCTTTTTTCCACATCTAATTATCCCCCAACATTCAAGTCTAGAATATGGGATAATGTTAAAAAGGTCATATAGAAAACTGTAAAATCTTATCATATCAATTCTTTCTGTATTTTACACTGCACAACAATAATGAAATCTACCTTAACTTATGCCCATTCAATTTTGCAGCTTTCCTTATCATTTCTTTTACAGATACGCCTGACTCCAATGTCCAATCATTCCAATCTTGCTCCACAATCTCTCTAGAATCTTCAACATCCTCGATGGTTTCATTATTGATTTCTTCTACAGCTAGCCCTTGATCAAATTCGTCGACTTGATAACTCTCAAAACAATTAATACAAGGTGATAACCTATCATCAATATCATCAAAATTTAAATAATTTATATGCCCATGCCTAACATTTTCTGGTAGTTCGTATGGATGGACTTGACTTTTTTCAGTAGGTGAATTAAAGTATAAATCGTTTTCAAGTACATTGGCGATTTTCTCTCTAAATAAATAAATAAACAAATTTATAAATAACTAACTAGAGTGACGACGAGTGGTGGGCGATAACCACCACCATCCTTATGATAAACACTTACCCTTTTTCTGCACCAAACTTATCTTCTTTCTTTCTTTTCTTTCTATCGTTTTTGCTATTATTCATTTTTTTTTAAAAAAAAAAATAGTTGGATGAAAAAAAATTTATTTACAGTGTGGAACATTCAATTCCAAAAAATTGTTCATTATTTCACAACCAATGATCAAAATCACGTGTAATTTTAATATATGAAAGTTGGAAAACAAATGTAAATTCTTTATTATTATAATTTTTTTTAATAAGGGATGCGTTCCCCATTTTTTTCAATTACAAGTTCACAGCGCCTTTTCATTTTCCGGAGTTGGACATTACCACTAGCACGTTTTGTAGTGCCAGTCTTTTTTAATTTTTTTATATTATCATAGATGGTAGAGGAGGCTATTCCTGTTCTTTTGCAAATTTCTTTGGCGTTTTGGATGCATTTATTCCAATAAAATTCTATTGTTTGGTGTTGGGATTCCTTTCTGGCGGTCATTGCTTTACTATTAGTAAAAAAAAAATTTTCAAAGCGTTAGCGTTACAAAGATGTATCACAGTTTAGTCACATACCTCATCTTTATTTTTCATTTTAAAATATATAAATTAAGCTTAATTTGGTTAAGCTGTGCAAATTTTAGTTTCCACAAAAAATTTTCTGGAATTGAATGTTCCACACTGTATTCTGGTTCCAAATAAAATCATTTCATGTTTCAATTTATTAAGACTTTAGATCACTTCTTTCTAAAAGGATTAATACAACCCTCAAGTCCTGAAATATACAGTATGATACAATGGAAAATCCAGGGTGGCTCGGGGGCTCTGAATTTGATTGAAATTGAATTCCCGACTCATATTGGTGTATGGTATGAATGATAATACATTAGTAAATCAAATCTGAAATTTGGCTTTTCAACACCTATGTTCAGTTTCATTGTCCCAAATGGTCACTGTTAAAGCTCCTCACGAAGCCAACTCACGTGGAGCCTTGGTCACTATGAGGCAGATGATATCTGGCGGTATGAAATAAATGTTCAGTTGCTGACGATCTTTGTAGTTATACAATCAGGTTAGAAATTGATTTATTTCATTTTATTATTTTTTAGATTGCAGCTTTGCACATTCTACAGATTTGATACATCCCATTAAAATTTATATAGGAAATGATTGTTTTTCTAAATTCTCTGTTTCTTTGATAAATTCTTCCTGGGCTTTTTTGCAGAACTATAAACTTTTGCCATTTCAAAATAGTTTCACACCTAACACTAGTTCAAGCAAAAGTAAGCAGAATACTGGTATACCATCAGTGGATTTTGATTTATTTCATTGCCAGAGATCATTGTTTCCAACGTGAGGATAGCAAACAGTGTTGCGTAGGATGTAAAAGGGATAATTTTGTTAAACTTGACATCTAAGCTCAATGCTAGGTTTAATATTATTCATTTCATTTTTTGAAAAATTGATTTCAAAGATTCTACATCTTGTAATTGTATACAATTTGGAAGCATTGATTGCATAATCATCACAAGTATTGTGATGGACAGAACTATAAACTTTTGCCATTTCAAAATAGTTTCACACCTAACACTAGTTCAAGCAAAAGTAAGCAGAATACTGGTATACCATCAGTGGATTTTGATTTATTTCATTGCCAGAGATCATTGTTTCCAACGTGAGGATAGCAAACAGTGTTGCGTAGGATGTAAAAGGGATAATTTTGTTAAACTTGACATCTAAGCTCAATGCTAGGTTTAATATTATTCATTTCATTTTTTGAAAAATTGATTTCAAAGATTCTACATCTTGTAATTGTATACAATTTGGAAGCATTGATTGCATAATCATCACAAGTATTGTGATGGACATGCATGATAAAATGGTGGAATCAAAGACATCTACATTCAAGGTAAGGATTAAATAATAACAAAAAAGATGAGTAATGTTTTGATTCAACCAAGAGAGGAATATTGTATGTACTAGTTACCAATTTGCAATTCTCCAGAAAATACTTTATGTCCAATTAACACAAAAAAATTATCCCATATATGCATAATAAAAACATTATATATCACTATTAATTTCTTTTTATTAAGAAAGTACATCCAACTTTCGATGGCCAAGCATAACTTTAAAACCAGATCAGGATTATGGGTAGAAAAATACAATGTTTGAATAAATCCATTCATAATAAAATCAATTATTATTTCACACTTAGGGACAAGCAATAGAAGCTATTTGTTCATCTTCGATGAATATCAAACAATAATAAACAATAATTTGGTAAATTGATATCCCTCTTTATGAACTATACCACCAATTTTGGCTGGAGGATCCAAAAGCGCCTTCCCACTTTAAATTTCCTAATAACGATATTCCTCACATTCGGCCCAATTATTTCGTTCGGGATATTTAGCTGGTTCAGATGTTTAGTATTAGTAGTTCTGCCGGGTACCTCGACTGAGTTGGGAATTCCGCTTGGTCCAAAAAACCTTTATCACGATGTTTATTGTGTTTACGAATGGCAATGGTTTGGTTCCATCTGTGAGATCAGGAGGCGAGCTTGCCTTTCTGGATTTAGTAGTGGTCCTGTCAGACGTGTAAAAGATCTTTCCATTCCGACAGTGTTATTTCTGCCGGCTCCTTAAAAAATAGTGCGAGTTTGGCTTTATCGATCAAGTCGAATAACAGTTGACATACCAATTGGCCCTGAGTGAGTAACGCCAACGCCATTCTCACGAGCTTCGTGTTTCGTAAACTCTAAGTGTAGACCAAAATTACAGTATCTTCGATAAATAAAGCTTCCAATTTATTGAGACTTTGTAACAGTTATAAACATCTAAATTTCTTCGCTCTCCTCGTAAAGGAATCCACTTGGCCAGCGCAGTTCTATCGAAAAATTTTTTAGCATCTTGCTCCATTTCGAATATTAATTTATCAAACATAGTTTCATCACATTAATTTCACCAGGCATAGTTTCACCAGACAGTTTTTTCGAGTGTATTTATGCATTATATCGTTGTCGTAGATGTTTGACAAATGGTTGTTTGATTATTAAATCTTACCAAAACTAAGCTATTACTATAGTTTCGGTAGTTTCACCATTTCAGAATGATTTACCGAAACTATTCGGCGGTTTCGCATACGCCATTCTGCCGAAACTCCCTAGTTTCGGCAAACAGCCTCTTACTCCATGTACTATTAATTTTGTGGCATTTGCTAAGATCATATACTGGAAAGTTCTCAACTGTAATTGCCATCATTTCCCAATGTTCGAGTGGATTCATGATATTTGCCAATGCAGAAAAAGTCAGACCTCAAAAGCTGACTCGGTAGTATGATCAGTTTTTCGATGAAGTAGTACTCAAGGGTATCTCGACTTGGTAGTATACAAAAATATGACTCGATTTTTTGATGGAGTAGTATCCAAAGGCACCTCGAGTTGGTGATACCCAAAAATGAGATCCAATTTTTTAGTATGGATAATGTGGAAAAGTATAGGCGGATTTTTGGAGAAGTGGTATCCAAAGCATAATTACTATAGAAAGATATAACATGGGGGTCATTACCACCACATCTGGATGAGTTTTTGTAAGAATTTTATTATACAAAATTGTAGTTGAATAGACGTCAAGTGGAAGTGGATAGATATATAATTTCGGCAGTATAATTCGAAGAAAAAATTGTCCACCAAGAGTGTGTATGGTCGATGTCCACCAAAGGTAAAATTATTACAAAGCTATATATATATAATTGTGCCCCCGGCAAACATCAAGAGTATACCATTTCAGCATTACGTGACTCAAACATAGCAATCAAATGCAACGTATAAAGCAAAATACAGCTTACCACTTTGGCACTACATAACCCAGGCATCAAAAAACAAAACAAATAACGAATACTATTTCGGCACTACGTGCCTCAATGCTGACACTCATGGATCAATACAACGGCAGGCTATGATAATAGCCCTCGAAATTGTCACTACATGTCTCAGCCTTGGACAAGGAAAACGTTTAATAAATGATTGTAAGCCAGCAACTATTGTGAAGTGAAACAAACAATAATTAAACCTTCAACACCACTAGGCTTCCATAGATCATGTACAAGATGATCTTGCAAAATTAATAAAGTGGAAAAGGTTCCATGGGACAGTCTATTCATTATAACATATATTTGCAAACTTTCAACAAAATTAACATCCCCTGACTGTTACAAGAAACTGTTCAAAAAGAAGAAAATTTTATTACAGGAGTCACTCATAAAAAGTAATTAATATAAATAATTAATAAGTAATTAATAAGTAATTAATATAAATAATTAATAAGTAATTAATAAGTAATTAATATAAATAATTAATAAATAATTAAATAAATTGATAAATGATATAATCCGTCTATGAACCT